CCACTGTAGGCATGTTAACGAAATACTGTATGTTGGTCAACCAGTACAGCAAAAGCAGCATAAGCTCATCATATGACACAGTCGGAACAATCAAAATTTAGACGCAGTCACTTAACTCCACTTCAATTTTACTCCACTGTCGTGTCCCCCTGTCCAAGAAACTGTATCGTCCGGTTGAGCTGGAAACGAAAAATCTCATGTACTATTACGACAATTTACTGAAGTGATTGTTTTCTTGCCGGTTTTGAGGCTACTGATTTGGCTTGAAACTCGCAAGGCAGCGCTAAAAAAGTTCCGAGAGTGAAAACGGCTGGAGTCATATGCTGGCCATGAAAATGTAACTCTTCGGTAATGTCAACTATTGTTACACAATCCCTAATCAGAAAGTTGAGTTGAATAACGTCCATTTCGCTAAAAATCAGGAATTCTACGAGCTGCCGAATTATTACCTTAGCAACATGGATTGGGCGGCCACGCAATTACTGTCTTGGCGATTTTTGGCCTTCAGACTTTTCCTAAGCCACCTATCTTCGAATTTCACTTTGATTTTTAGACTGGAGTGCAAATTATAGTTGCACTGCTTAGCATTACCGTATTCTTCGACATGTGGCAAGTCATTGGAGGAGCTGCTGCAAATACGGAATTTGACCGGGTATATAACCCACTTTGAACTCCTCTTTAGTTTTGCTTATATAGTAGTACCTGTTACAGTATGACATGGCCTCTGTGTGTATTCGTTTCGCCATCGGCGCTGGTATCACAGGCACAGTCCTCGTCTCATTGCTCACTGAGAGGCCGGTTCTACTTATACCGTACCTCTTGTTACAGGTCAGTGAGTCTGAGTTCTTTTCCAAGTTTGTTCCACCCCCTGTATGACGTCTTTTCACAGGGTGCAGGCTTAGCTGCTGGAATGGTTTTCTTTGTCGCCTTTCTGTATATTTCGCTTTTTGGCGATCGCTCAACGGCTATCTCATTTCTGCGCTCAAATGGTCATCCAATCGACTCTCCCGATGACGCTCGATTAAGTGGGTTTCTGTTTCAGCTCTAGAACTCGCAGTTGTTGAAATACAAGTGATTTTGTCAGCAAGTAAATGGACTACAGTTTGGGGGATAAACTGTCAAAGAGGTCCCCGGAATAGGCTGTCAAGTAGTACTAGTGATGGGATATATAGGTATGTCAGTCACAACTATTTACTTCTGGGAAACACCTTCGAGAAATTCATAACAAAAATCGCCCTGACTGTGAGTATCAGTGCGGCCTTTCGAGGCATCCCACTCAGTCGAATTTGCTATTTGGAGACGATCTCATGGGTGCAGTTGAAGACACTCCACGAAGGTAACGGTGCTTACGATATCCTCGGATCTACTGATAGTAGCAATGATAAACTGAGAGGTCCCGCGAGGAGGTGGATCAAATGCCTTCACGAATCTCATACATAGGTTGACGGGAAATCGCTGGGACTAGGGCATATTATTTGTATTGAGGGCAGAGGTGGAGCAGGGGCAAAAGTAATGTATTCTATCACCCAGGGAGTCCTGAGTTCGAATCTCGAATCGGTACTCGCCTAAGCGAACAGAGCATTCCATCCCTTCAGGGTGATTTAGGTATTATCCGGCTCGTCTGAGAAGATAAAAACACTGACTTGTATAGTGGCTAGCCCCACAATTTTTTGTATAGGCCACATATGCATTCAATACGACACCACAATTTTGGATAGACGTCAAAT